CAGTGAGGACGATAACAGAAACACGTCTGTGCTGATTGGCCTGTCAGTGTCACATGACCGAGCCAAAACAAGTTTCAAAGTTCCAACAATGGCCCCGCCCCCTGAATGAATCCTTTCAGCCGATGTTTTTATTTATTCATCGCTATAATTCGTGATCTGACTGATGGTGACAGTAACTGAACTCCAGAGTGGAGGGAGACGAGGAGGAGGGGCGGTTTCTATTTTTACTGGCTAAAAGCTGCTCTTCATGGCGCCACGCGGCGACGGCTACAGTGCGACTGGCTCTACGAACAGAAAGAAGCTAAAGGCTCTACAAAAGGTCTCTCACCTCTGAGACAACAAGGCATCGTAAACGTTTGTTAAAGGTACAAGCCGTGCTTAAAGGGACAGCCGTGCGCTCGGGTGCAGTCCGTCCTCGCCCCCCCATCTTTGGTTTGAACACTGCGGCCCGTCACAGTGCGCTGGTTGGGTGCGGCGGGCTCGTCTGCTCTGGCGGGTTTTGGTTAACAGTATCAATCTGTGAAATTGCACTTGGATGTTTTGGGTGAAGCCTCGCCGTGGCCTGTGGGTCCGTGCCGGAGTTGTGCTCAGGTGGAGGAGGTGAGGGGGAGTGAGGGGAGTGGGGGTGGTGCGTTGCTATGGCAGCATGATGGGCGTGTCTGAGAAGACGGACATGATGGAGTCTGTCTCCCCCGCCCTGTGCCGTGGCTGTTGCTCTGCCCCTAGCAGTAACCCTGGCCCCAGGTGTCCCGGCCCCGCCCTCAGCTTGCCATTTTGCTGCTCTCTGATTGGCTCCAGAAACACCACATGCTTGTTGGTACTGACCTTGCGGCCCGGGCCCTCCGTGCTGGCCGGCGGGGTGGGGGTGAGGATGGAGGACTGGACGCTGCCCCCCCCAGCCTCGTTTCCCAGACTTGGGGTGGCCGTGGCCGGGGGCGGGGCTTTCAGGCAGGGAGGGCAGCGGCAAGGCGTCAGGTAGAGGTACATGAGCACCAGCACCAGGCTCACCACGCAGCCCAGGAGGGTGGTGAAGCCCGTGTTGAACGGCTCCTGGGGGTCGTTGGGATCCGCCAACACCGTGACGTTGACCTCCCACGTGTCGTTGCGGCGATGCTGCCGGTCCTCCGCCAGACACCAGTAGATCCCGGTGTCCTTCTCGCGTGCCGCCATGATCTCCAGGCTGCCGTTGGAGAACATCTTTAAGGACCCGTTATTCCCCGGGGGCAGCACCGACTCCAAGCTCGGCGACACCCAGAGGAAAGTGACGGCGTGGCCGGAGAGAGAGGTGGCACAGTGCAACAGCAGCGCTTTCCCCGCCGTCACGGTAACACTGCTCTTCTGGGTCACGGCGCTCAGGTTGCACTTCTCCAGGTAGCGTCCGTGCTGGAGGAAGCGCACGGTGCCTCTCGGGTTCCCGTAAACCAGACAGACGTGCTCCTGCCTGAAGAAAAGCAGCGACTCGAACTCCTGCTGCTCCCAGGACCGGAACAGGCTGTACATGGGGCACTCGCACCACAGCGAGTTGTTGTGCAGGTAGAGCCCCTTCTGCAGCGAGTGGGGCAGCGCCAAGATGTCCTCCAGGGGCAGTTTGGACAGGCGGTTGGAGGACAGGTCCAGCAATGACAGGTGGGGGTGGCTGTGCTTCTGGATGGAGAAGAAGGGGAAGTCGGTGAGGCGGTTGTGGCTCAGATAAGCCTTGCGCAAGTTTGTGAGTCCAGCCAGAGGTCGGCCCTCCACCCGCGAGATCCGGTTATTAAACAGCAGCAGCTCCTCCAACCCCGACAGCTCCTGGAAGTAATGCTCCTCCAGGACACAAAGATGATTGGATGACAGGTCCATGTTTCGGAGCCGAGCCCCGGACGAGTTTCTGAACGCTCCCGGCATGATCGCCGTCAGCTGGTTGTGGGACAAACGTAACGTCTCCAGTTGAAGAAGTCCTTGGAAGGCGCCGTCCTCCAGCTGCGTGATGTGGTTGTGGCTGAGGTCCAGGGTGACGGTGGAAACCGGCATTTCTCCGGGAACGTGTCTCAGAGCCAGGGCGGTGCAGCTGAAGATGTCTGCGGCGCAAATGCAGCCGCCCGCCCGATAGGAGCCGCGAGACGAGCTGACGGCGGCGTGTACGGGGCTCGGCCGGTGCAGCTGCAGGCACACCAACAGCAGCACGGCAGCCCGCCACGCTGTCGGGGAGTCCACGCCCTGCAGGAGTTCCGTGTGACCGCCGACGTGCGGCATGATGCCACCGGCGTGTGTCCCTTACTTTGAAAGAGCCTCAGTTTGCTGTTTACATCCTTCGTGCGCCGCGATTCATCTCATTTTGGCGTAACATGGTCGACACGTAAACACAGCGCAGGCGGAGGAAGCTTGTTGTTGCTCATAGTGTACGAGTCTGTAGAGCGTGCGCGTCCTTCACTCTGAGCCTCTCATCCTCTCAGAGCGTGGCTGTGGAGCGCGCTCAGTGTGCCTCCAGGCTGTTTGTTTGGTCTAACTCGGTTAATGTTGTCCACCTGCCAACCCGGCAGACGCCAGGCGAGGAGCGATGCCTGAATGGGCTACGTGAGGCGTCCCAGCACAGACTGTCAGTGATCCAGGTGTGCCGCGATGTCAGAACACCTGTCGTCCCATTTATCCCACAGAAAAGTCAGAAATCACTTCCTGTCTCCTCCTTTCATCCCATATCTGCTCCGTGGGCGTCCTCCTCCAGCTCTGCTCGCTCCGGGAATTTCCTTTCCGCACTCAGTCTCTGTGACGATGGCGAGCTCCGAGCGCCTCAGTTTGATCCCGGGATCAGACTCGCAGTGGCATCCCGCCTGCTCCACCCTCATCCACCACGCCGCTCTGCAGCTGCCCTGCGCTGTCTCTGGCTGCACTGAGCGCGCTCCTCGCTGCTCCCTCACAGAGGTTGCTGTGTGTGTGTCAGTCGCTGCTCCGTCTCTTGACTGCGCTCGGCTCAGATGTGAGCTCCGTCTGCCGCTTCTGGTGCTTTCCCAGCTCCACCTCTCCTCCTCCTCCACTCTGGATTAACCCTCTCTCTCTCCCCCTGCTCCTCCTCCTTCTCCTCCTCCTCTGTTTTTGCTGCTCTGCTGCTTTCCGTCTCTTTTTGTTCCCGTCTCCTCCCTCCTCCTCGCTCCTCTCTCGGAGGCGCCGTGTGTTTCCTCGGAGGAGCGTGAGGAGCAGTGACATGAATGCTCCCGTGATTTTACTCAGAGTCAACAAAAATGATACTTTGTTCATGATTTGTGTGACGATCAGGAGGAGGCGGGGCTCCAGCATTTCAATCTATGACACCATGAATACTTTGTGGCTCCTCCCTCTGTGAACTCCATCTCCTCCGGGTTGTTCTCAGCCGTGTGTGTGTGTGTGTGTGTGTG